CGGCAAGTCGCGCACGCTGTATTTTTACGCTCTGCTGGAGCGGCACGCGCGCTGCATTATAGCGCGGCTGCTGGAGCCAACGCAGGCGGTCGCGGTAAACAGATTTTTTGCGCGCGGCGTTTAACGCGGCTGTTGGAGATCCTCTAACCGGATAAGCACGAACTGACAAGACCCTTTCCTTCCCCTAGACAACCAATCCGATCGGATCCTCCAAAGCGGTGCATGATGCTTCCCGATCACAATGCCCAAAGCCACCTGATCTGGACGCGGTCCCAATGCTCCTGTGCAAACAAGACACCCCCCAGTTGAAGCTCGCACGACACACCTGAGACCGAAAGCTTGGCGTCCGGCTCAGGCTCACTCCGGGTCAGACCTAGCCGCCATACACACATACGCATTCGAACGTTAACCGTAGCCGCATTGGGGCTGATTCAGGTACATCTCCCTCTCGGTCTGAAAAGAGCCCACACGCAGTTTCTCTCCTGCAAGCAATGCCGACCTCCCGAACCTGCTCGGCCGGACAAAAGCTCCCGGAGCGGCGCGCATTCCATGCCCGAACTGCGCCGCCCTTATCCGCGGAAGATGCCGGCCACTGCCACTGCCAAGTGGTGCATCGCTTTGCTCGTATAAAGACAATGCACCCTACCGCAACTCATTAGGAAGACGTCAAAATCGACAGCGCGCTGCACATGCATTCCGACCTTTCCCCACTGGAGTAGATACGACGAACAGGATTAGGATTAGGATTAGGCGGCGGAGTGTTTGGCCAATCCCGGATGCAAATCAGGATTAGCGCTTATCCACAAGAGAGCAACTGGGAGTGGCGACTGGCGAGGTAAGTGAACCCCGTAATCCATCGGAAGCGACGAAGCGTGGCTGGAAACTGGGAGGGAGTGCAGAGTCAGCAGCACCGCCAGAACCACGTAGGCGAAAATGACAAGACAGAAGCTTCAAGAGCCCCCAACAGCACGCATAGCAGCAGTCAAGGGGAGTCCAATGAAACTTAAACACATCCATTAACCTTTTCTTGGCACTTTTTCTCCCCTCATGCGTGGAGCTTTGACGACGTTGGCGCCGTTCAGGTACGTGTTGGTGCAGCATTTGGTGTCACGGTCGCTGGGAGTTCGCCGGTGGCACGCAACGCATGGTGGCGACATGGGAGCGCCAAAGAGGTAAATGAACAGCTTGCAACAGTGGAGCAATGAAATTTAATGGTTATTTCATTGATTGCATTCCTTTGTTGGTAGCTTAGAGCATCTATAGCCTCGGCACCACAAACCCTCCTCAAACGCTCGGACGAGGAGCCCTGTCACTAATCAATTATGAATTTTTGATCTAGCCGGGTGCTCAAACAGGCCTCAGATGTCCGGACTGACCGGCACCCCTTATATCCAGCCTAAATATGAGGAAGATATGAGGGCGTCCGGACGCGTCCGTCATGTCGGACTGACGTCGGGGTCCCACGCGGAATCGTCCGGAAACCCGGCAGTCCGAAACTCGCCTCCTCCGCCACCGATGTCGCCGCGTGGCGCTGCTCCGGCAGGCCACATAATGTCCGGACCGGCTATTTAAGCCGACCGCCGGCATCGAAACCATACCCCTTCACATTTTTCTTCGCCCATCCGTCGCCGCCGCTACTTTCCACTCCCCGTCCGCCACCACTAGTAGCCATGCCCCCATGCCGCCGGATAAGGGGCCACCCATTTCTACGCCGGTGTGCCGACTGCAGCTCCTTGAGCAGATCCGGGTAAGGCGCGAAGTCCGGATCGCCGCGGGGCTACCTCCGGATGTAGTGGATCCGAAGGAGGAGTTGGAGGGGGAGGAGGAGGATGACGACGACGATCCGGAGGAGGATGTGGCGGACGCCGGGGACGCAGATGCGAAGGCCATCCTCGATTCCCTCCGCTTGATGCGAAGGCGAGACGTTGTCGCCTGCAGGCGGCGGAGGCGCAACACGCCACGGAGGAGGAGGAGATGTTTGCCTACATGGATGAGGTCGAGCGGGAGGAGGAGGACCAGGAGCCCTCCTACGCGGCCGTCCACCTAGCGCCCGGCGCCGACGTCATGGGCATCTCCGACGACGAAGATTAGATAGTAGCACGTAGTATTTTTTTTCATGTTTTGCATGGATCTAAGGGTTCAAATATGAGATACTCGAATGCATGGTAGCTAATTCGAGGCGTGGCCGGTCACTGCCTGTTGATGCGCCCGGTGACGTTCGCAGACGTTTAAGGGACCGGATTTGTCAGTCTGGTTGTAGATGCTCTTATCAAGCTGGCCGCTTGGTAATTTGATCGTCATTTAATTGATTGTTATTTAATCGTCATTTCGTGGAGTATACTCGGGCCGCTGAGCTTTGAGAAATTCCTTTTTTGTGTGTGATTAACGTGCTTGAAAGGAATACTCAAACACTAATAAGGTCCAAATGCTTCCCGGGACACCTTTTTCTTCAAGAACATGCAAGAGGGTTGCATGTCTTTTTCATTAAGATTGGAAAACAAAGATTAATACAACAACATCAACAACAGCTGCGGCCTCACAAGCCATAGCCGCTGCGAGCCAGCCTGGAAACAGAGAGCTAATGTACTTCAAAGATACGCCCACGTTCCACCCTAGCGGATTTCCATAGCTCGATCTCGACATGAATGGTGGAGACAACACTCGTCACCGAAGAGGTCCTCTGTTCGAAGACCCTGTTATTGCGCTCTAGCCAGATGAAGCGAAGCGTGGCGGCGATGGTGGTGTTAAGATCCCTGCGGTGTGCGGCGGCGACTGAAGACGTGATCGTACGCCACCAATCTTGCAGCGTTTGGAAGCCCGAAGGGGTGAACCGGTGGAGGCGCAGTGGCAAGAGGATGTGATACCACACTTCTTGGGAAAACGGGCAGCCGAGGAACATATGAGTGGAGTCCTCGTCTACTTGGCAGCAAGGCTAGCACTGTCGTGTGTTGGGCAAGCCACGACATTGCAGCCTATCCGTTGTCCACAACCTGTCTTTGACCGCGAGCGAGACGAAGATCTTAATATCGAGGGGGGCCGAGGAGTGCCAAATCTCCGAAGCGGCAGGGGCAAACTCCCGTCCGAAGAAAAAGGCCTGGTAGGTGTCGCCGAAGTAGAGACCCTTCGAAGACAGTTTCCAGGCAAAGTGATCAGGGTCGTTTGGGGGTTGGTAGTTGCTTATTGCCTCCTACAACTGAAGGAATTCCGCGATGGCTGACACAGATGAGGCTCCTCTAGGCTCTGTTCGGAGTCACTCCTAAAATTACGAGGAGTCGCGGAGCATTTGTTTCCCAGCTCCGTACTTTTTAACTCCGGCTTCAAAAATGGAGTGGTGGAGTGACGGGTCCTAATCTCCTCCACCCACGCGTGGTCGGGGAGCGCGTCAGGTGCGGAGCCAGCTGCTCGATGATGCTCTGCCCATCCAGCCCTGGTCCGACCAGAAGCGGAGCCTCTGTCCGTCCCCAAAAGAGCACCCCGGGACACCTATTCTAAAACTAAGCGAACACGACTCGACTGGAATCGAATTGATGGCTAATCAAGAGAGTTGGCTCGTATTCCACCCGCAACATTTGAGCTAATCGCCAAACATACAAAATAATCAGTGGTTAGTGAGAAAGGTGTGCTGCTCCCGCCGGTCTCCGGCCCATCTCGTCATCATCTCTTGCTTAATAATGTAGTAATATTTTATCCGATAATTTATTTTGGCATAGTTCAATAGTACGTACTCCATAATTCTAACATGAATATAAGTATCTGTTGTGTCGACACCGACCGCGTACAAGCGTATGTTTTCCTTAGGCAAAAATACGCAATGAGTACAATGATTAGGGCCCCTTTAAAAAGTAGTAAAATGATTGCAATTAAAAATACAACTACTCCGTATTAGGGTCCCTTTGCCCTTAATAAAAGGAGTATGGAGGCCAGGTACTTTGAAACGACAAAAGGGAAAGACAATTAAGACTTCATATCAGTTGTTGGGCATTTTTTTCCGCCCGTGTTTGTTGGGCACTTCTTTTCTTTTAGTCGTGGTTTGTTGGGCATCTTCACCAAATCAAAAAACAAGCCTTGGGGCCTAGCAAGGCGGCAAAGAAATCTATTCCGGCAGGATTGGACTTCAAGATCGAGGTCCAAAAAAATTGGTTCTACCTTTAGACCTAGGATTTTAATGGTTACCTGTTAGACAATTTCGTTGAGCGAAATGGGAGCGTATTCCAACACAAGTCCATGCTACCGTCTATCATTCTCTTCAACACCAAGAATGAGGCATCGCTTTGGGTCACCGCCGATGCGAAGTACTTCGGAAATATCATGCCACGATAGTAGAGGCGTTGTGATTTTCTTCTACTTTTATTTGTGAAAGCAATTCTAAGCTCCTTAACTAATGGATATGACACTAGTCTATGTTACTATTTACTATCTGTATCATGTAAAGTATGTTATAAAGTAGATGATTGCATTTATTAGTTTGTAGACTCAACGTTTCTTGATAAGCGCTATGTAATGACAATTATGTTACTTGCTATAAATGGCAAATTTGTCTTCTGGTAAGTTATGTTACTTGCTGTAAGTTAATCCTTTTGACACATACAAATGGCTTAGGTAAGCTCGATAATCATAGACGATCTCCATAGCAGAACAAAAAGGCACGATTCCTAGCAGTTCGTCACATCAACTGATAAGAATCTGAAATATAGAGAGGACCATGTGATCATCGAATCGTATCTCATCCCAGGGAACAAAAGCTGAATTGATCAGGAACAAAACTACTCTTGCATATATGTACACATCGATCGCCGGACGTACGTACACATCAGGCACAAATCCTCGCATGTATCGTGATCTACAGACACCTCTCCTCAAGTTGCTCTGCGCGTTACACCGAGCCATAGCACTCTAGTCATGGCTGCCCCGAAGAAACTTACTAGTAGCACTAAAATTTACAGCCCAAGCTGCTGCACTGATCGGGCAAGTCCTACACAGTATCACTAATTTGCATTGGATCAAACGACGGCGCCCGGCAAGGCGGGCACGTCACCCTGCCACGCCCAGACGATGTCCGCGAGCCCGGGGCGCACGTCCTCGGCGCAGAACTTGTTGAAGTCGAGCGCGTCGCCGCCGTCGTGCGCGAACTCGACCACGGTCACGTCGGCGGCCACCTCGAACACCTCCGCGGTGACCGCGAGCCGCCCGTTGGCGCCGTCGGCCTTGGCCTCCATTCTGATCCTCCACCCTTTCCCTCTGGTCGTGTTGTACCTCAGCGCCTTGCCCACGGACTCCAGCTTGTGGAACACGGTGGCCGCCGGCGCGCGGGAGGTGAACACCGTCGCCGCCTTCTGCTCGCTCTCGAACAGCCCCGACAGGTCGAACCCGGAGGACATGGATGATATGAGCTGGAACGCATTGCACGTCCGCGGCGAGATGTTGCCGGAGCTGTCCTCGCTGCCGTCGATGAGGGCGGCGGCGTTGTCGTCGTCCCACTTCCTGGGCGTGGCGGGGGAGGAGGGGACGGGCGGCACGAACCCCCTCTTGAACCAGGGCGTGAGCATGATCTCCGGGATGGAGATGCGCTTGGCGGGGTCGACGGCGAGCAGGCGGCCGATGAGGCGGCGCGCCTCGCCGGAGACCCAGGGCGGCATCTGGTACTCGCCCTTGAAGATCTTCTGGTACATCTTGACGTAGTTGTCGTGCTGGAAGGGGAGGAAGCCGCAGAGCAGGACGTAGAGCACGACGCCGCAGGACCACATGTCGGCGCGCGCGCCGTCGTAGCCGCGCTTGCGGAGCACCTCCGGCGCGACGTAGGCCGGGGTGCCGCACTGGGTGTGGAGCAGGCCGTCGTGGCGCAGCTGCTCGGGCAGCGCGGCGAGGCCGAAGTCGGTGACCTTGAGGCGGCCCTCCTCGTCGAGCAGCAGGTTCTCGGGCTTGAGGTCCCGGTGCGCGACGCCGCGGCTGTGGCAGAAGGCGACGGCGGCGACGAGCTGCTGGAAGTACTTGCGGGCGGCGTCCTCGGTGAGCCGGCCGCGGGCGACCTTGGCGAAGAGCTCGCCGCCGCGCGCGTACTCCATGACGACGAAGACGCGCTGGCGGCTGGCGAGCACCTCCCGGATGCCGACGACGTTGGGGTGGCGCACCATGCGCATGACGGAGATCTCCCGGCGCAGCTGCTCCACCATGCCGTCCGTCTGGCGGAGGCGGGCCTTGTCGATGACCTTGATGGCCACGCTCTGGCCGTCGCGCAGGTCGCGGGCGTAGTAGACCTTGGCGAAGGAGCCCTGCCCCAGCATCCGCCCCAGCTCGTACTTGCCCAGCACCAGGGTCCTCACCTCGCCCTCCCGCCCTCTCGCCATTGTGTGCTCGGACGTTGCCGACTTGTTTTGGAAGTTCACTACTAGTCACTATGGCCACCGCTGCTGCTGCGGCTTGTATGGGATCTTTTAACTAGGCGGGGGCGGTACGCGTCATGGGATCTTTAACTAGGTGGGTCTGGGCACGTAGAGATGGGGGCGGGCACATGGGTTTGACGCGGGCGTTGCTGGTTTGAGGAGGGCGGCACACTGGATCGGCCGGTCGCTTATTTGTACTGGCGTGGAGGCGGGGGCGTGGGGCGGTGCGTGCGCGGGACAAGGAGAGGCGTGGCACGGGCCAGGTGGCTAGGGCCTAGGTGGGTCGGGTGGACGCGCCGTGCGGTGCGGTGCAGGCGAGAGCCGAGAGGAGAGGGGACAAATGTGAAGGCGTCGAGGTGGGGGGTTGGGAGTGGGGGAGGAAGAGTGGCCCGGTGACGGCCCATGAGTGGTGGAGGGGGGGTTTGTTGCTTCCAGGTTGCAGCAGCACGGAAGGTGGTGTCTGTCGGCTAACTGGGCCGATTACTATACCCGTTCAACGTTTAAGGGATGCGGCCATGAACTTGGACCGGGCATTTGCTCTGCACGAAACACCCTGGCAGCCTTCCCCCGGCGTCAACGGTCCAACGTCCAATGAATCTTCATCTTCGCGCACCTCTTAACCACTGGTTTCCTATCCTATTTCTCAAAAGAAGAAGAAAAAACCGCAGTTTCCTTGCCAATTCAATTTAGACCACTGTTGACCTTCCTCCCCCCACTGCTCTTTCATGATCCCTTGACCGAGGAGGCACATCGTTGACCTCCCCTTGTTCCTTCTATGTTTTCCCTATGTTTGTTTTTTTTTCCGGAAAAACTTTCAATCTATTCATCTCCAAACATGGTAGTACAACGAACACTAGAAATAATAAAAATTACATCCAGATTCGTAGACCACCTAGCGACGACTACAAACACTGAAGCGAGCCGAAGACGCGCCGCTGTCATCGCTCCTCCTTCACCGAAGCCGGACAAATCTTGTTGTAGTAGACAGTCGGGAAATCATTGTGCTAAGGTTCCATAGAACCAACCATTCCTCGAGAGTTACCTTGAATCTACTCATCCCTCTTTTCTCTAGGGTTGCTCGACTAGTTAAGGCTCAAATGTTTAAGTTCGTGATCGTTTTAAGGCTCGGTTTGTTAAGCCCACTAAAAATATTAAGCTAAAATTCATGATCAGCTTTGTCAGTTTAATGCTCGTTAAACTATCGAGTACTCTTACAATTGTAAACAACTAAAAGCATCACGCACACATTCATAATGTGCTATCCATTCAACTTCGACTAGGCCAACCAAGTGCAGAAGATGGATAAGGAGGCCGGTGGGCAACAAGGAAGTGGGTTCGTAGGTTGAGCGGCCGAGCCTTGGCAATTAATATCAATAACGGCTTAATGGGTTGGACCCTTTGAATTTTAACGAGCCAAATGAGTTGCTCACGAAACTCGTGAGCTTGCTTGTTACGCTTGTTAATCTTAGCAAGCTACATTTTTTCTTCGATTTGGTTCGTTAACTAACGAGGACAAGCTCAAATGAGGCGAGCTTTCGAGTGCTCAATAAGCTCTCAAGCAACGAGCTTTTCGTCCAGACCTATCCACTCCTCTTTCGACGATGGTCATGGTGGGAATGGGAGAGGTGGTTGGAACATCATTGTAATTAGTAGAGGTGGTTTAGGTCTAGATATAGGCTTTCATTTGACTGCAAGGTGTTTGGCGACATGTCATGTCGACGCTTCACTTGGCATTTGCGAGCTACACTTGGCCGACGTCGGGCTCTTTCTTTTGGTTGTCGTCCATATTTGACAGTGGCATGGGTGGTAGATCCAACACGAGCTTATTCGATAAGCTCACTAGGCCACGAGTGCAGCTAAACGTAGAGTCATAATCGCTCCTCCCACCGTCGAGGTGACGATGGATCTGGGTTCTGTTGTCATCAATCTAGTGTCTTTTGAGGTAGCTTTCACAGTACCTTGTTCAACCTCTGCAGACGCCCTTGTTCCCTTACCCGTCGTCGGCAAGGTTTGAGCGCAGACGGTAGCCATAGTGTTTACAGGGAGGTCATTGTATGTGTTACTACCCAATTGTGTTCTTGGTGTTATATTTGGGGCCCTATATGCAAAAAGGAGGGACCTAGCTGTATTTCCTGTTTTTAGGGTATTCTATGCAGTGTTGTCAAAATTTGGCTATGAAATGCCCTATTTTAGCAAAAAGGCTATCGTCGGCCATAAACTAAGGCTCTTACGAGGTTCAACAAGGTTTTAACAAAAGAGATGGACAAGAGAAACGCAAATGTTCGATACAAGTTGTCGAAGGCCAATAGGCAACATAGCACGAGCAGTCATACTGCCAAGTACTAAAGGTACTCAAAAGAAGTTCCCAATGCAACATAGGGTGGCTCCCTAGCCATTGATGTCCAATGTGGCTGCCCTCCGTAGATGACGGCATCGCGATCGGATGGTCGTTACGACACAGTCCAACACCTCCTTGTCCTTTGGTCTTGCTAGTAACCTCCAGAGCTGTAGGAGAACCACAATTTTATAGATCAAGTCAGTCGAATGCTTAAACAGTTTCCCCTTGATGAGCGCCTTATTTTGAGTGACCAGGTCATCGCCGCAAATCCAACCCACTCTAAACATTGATCTCTCTTTCTACAACTATGCATGAGCCGTTGGAAATCCGCAAAACCGGCCGGATTTCATGAGCTTCCCGCCACATCCCGCATCACACTCCACATAAACCGTGCCATGATGCATCTAAAGAGGACGTGATCACAATCCTTGTCCTGCCCACATCATGGGCATTTCCCATCTCTAGTATAAAATGCCAGCTCTTGGGACCTTCGGGTCCCTTCCCAATATTGGCATAATAACTCTAAGCCAGCATTGGCGGAGGTCAGAGGGCAAGTAGATGTCATGTTAATTTATTGAAAAACATTTTAGTTTACTAATTCTTACACTTAATGATACTACGATTCAAAAAGGTCATTGCATGCTTTTCATGTCATGTAGACCACAATATTGAGACGAAGATAAAGCTTCACGAAGAGCCTGAAAACTAATATCCTGAAACATATATAAACATGAAAATTAATGGTTTTGACATGCTAATTATATGAGTATAGTACTCCGTCTTGGACTAACTGTTATGCTCTTCCGTTACACCATGTGTTGTACGTTGTAATTCGCAAAAAAAAAATGTGTTGTACGTTGTAGGTTTCGAGAAGTGACGATCAAGCGAACCAACCCGTGGTTGAGATGTTTAGGTGAACAATGGTATCCCTAACCCACCAGGGTTAAAATCCTGGTGCTTGCGTTATTCCTGTATTTATTTCAGGATTTCCGGTGATGCGCTTTCAGTGGGAGGAGACGTTCCCGTCGACGACGAGGCGTCTACGGTGGCTTCGTAAATCTCAAGATGATATGCCGGCTCAGTCTCTTGAAGGTGCTCATAAGGTCAGGGTGTGCGTGTGTGCGTTTATAGGGATGAGTGTATGCACGTGTATATGACTGCTTGTGTCTGTACTGATGCTCAAAAAAAGAGAAGTGACGATCAAAAGGGTACGCGTGGTAGAATGTAAGCGCAAAAATATCTACACAATTAATCGCCTTAAAAATTCAAAAAATAATAATAATCGCCTTGCATGTGTAATGTTGTATAGTTATTTGACTGGCAAGTACAGTATATACGCTATAGACTGACAATGGATTACGTAATATCCAAGACACGGCAACAATGCCCGACAAACGCCCCTCTCCATACTTCTCCAAAGGCATCGGCATCACTCTGGCCGGAAAAAGAAAACGGCCATTGCCGACATGGCCACCGCGGAGCCGCTCACAGGATTCAGAGGACCGGAGAAAGATCACAAGGCGTCATCAAAGATGGAGACGTACCCCATTCCGGTATCCAGCAAGCAGGTCGCCGCCCCCGTATGGGCTTCACGTCGCCGCTCGTGCCCCGGCCGGTGCAGCGCACCGTGTGTGACCAACACGGTAAGCCCCGAGGAAACAGGGAGCTTTCGTCCTGCCCGGCAAATAATTGAGCGAGCTCACAGCGACCCCTCGTCCCCGCGACGGCGCAACGCCCGCACGTCGCCGTTCGGAGCCTTGGAGAAGAAGAGGACGCGCATGCATTATTGGCGGGAAACCACGCATTGTTTTTGGTCCCGGGTCGGTCGCGGCACGTAGGTTTCTCCGATGGCCACGGCTGCTGCGGGAACCCACGCGCCACGTCGTGCGGACTCACAGTGGTGACCAGAAGCACGCACTGCTGGCCGGCTGGACCCCTACCTATCCAGTACGCGTCGCCGTCGCGCCACCTGCCGTCCGGCGCCTGGTTCCTCCGTTCGGTTGGTGCACCGATGCCCATGGCCCACCCCAATGGTCCCCTCTCTTGTCCCTGGATTTGGGCTGTGTGGTGCGTGTGGGCTGTGGATGCGCCGATGGTTGCGTCGGGCCACCGGTCATCTAGCTACAGCTACATGTGGTGCGATTCGGCTGTATTGTGACTTGCAACTGCAATCTTCTTGCGGTTTTGCCGTTTCGCCCCCACGAGGAATCTGGATCTTTGCCAGCGCAACGGATGTCGCTCGATCGGCTCCATGTCATTAGCTTCGCAAGGACAATGATTGTTGCATTATTGCAATTGATTGTACAATCGGTCGGCTTCTAACTTAGAGTAGGATTCAAGAGAAGAAAAATGCTATAGTTTGTGCTGTGTCTGGTTGAATGTTTACAATCTTCTGCGTGGGTGCATAAAGCGAAGCTCCTTTATCTGAAAAAAGGGAGTAAATGATTGATTGCAAGACTTATTTGCAGTGAGCTTGTGCAGCGTCAGGTTGATGGGCAGGAATCTAGGTAGTTTCGTATGGTCAGCAGTTCCACTTCTCTTTTCCTTTTGATCTGGTATGCTGTAGCGAACTAGTAACTGTTTTACTGATTGTCCTTGGATGCTAGAGCATTAGGACTACCAGGCA